ATCAACCTGAAGTAACCATGAAACATGACCCTGCCACGGCCTGGATTTCCTGCATTGCATATGCCGCACAGCACAGTTGCTCAGTTCGATTGAGAAGCTGGGACCAGATTTCTCGTCGGCCAACCAAAGCGCATGCAAGTAAAGCCACTGATGTTGAGCTCTGCCCACGCAAAAATCCCTTCGGGACGCGTCCAGATTTCGCATCGGCCGTGGCTGAATTCTATGCCTGACGAAGTGCAGGGGCAAAGACGCGTTCAAAACTGCAGCTCTCTCCGAATCCTGCGAACACTCAGCTGCATCCAGGCGCAATCCAATACCTAAATTCGCAACCCGGACGCTGCCTTTGCAACTCGGAAACTGATCAATGCACAGCCTCTTGCATGCCTCGGCGAAAACAGCAGACGAGCTGATCAAACCAACACCAGAGTTGGGTGTTGTAGAATTTACGAAATTTGGCCATACATCTCCTGGCCCAGGCAAGATTCAACTCATGAAGCGCACAAATATCAAGAAGACGCGTCCAACACAAGCGAAGGTATCATGCGAAGCGTCCAACATCATCCAACATCAATACAGTTCAGAGCGGCACTAAACAAGACAACCCGCGAGTTAAAAGCACCCGACAGGGACTTCACATCACGAAGTGGATGCCCCTCGTCGGAATCTCTGCGTGACCCCACAGACCCCATACCGTCTTTGCCACGTCCAGGCTGCATGCCCCTTTGCACATGGTGTCCTAGATATCTACGGAAGATATACATATTGCCCCAATCTAACTGGCATGATACCACCTAGCACGACACCAAGTGCACGAACAGTCCTAAGCTGACCTTCGTATGATTCAGGCCAAGGCTCTTCCAGGTCCGTTAGGCCGGCATGCACGGTGTAGTGGGTCGGGTCATTGTCAGTTCGGTTCCTGTGGCGCCCATGCATGACACATCATGACACTCCTGGCCATGCACCTGCCAGTAAGGCGGTGTCAACACCTTTGCTAACCTGCCTCCCTCGGCAAGCAGCGTTGCCAGGACTGCCAACATACTCCCAGCCGGCATCGGAGGGCAGAGATCGAGCACATCTGCCAGAACCCAATGATGCAAAAGCGCATGAGGAACGGCCCCGAAGCTTGCCTGCAGCAAATGAAGCGTTCCATCACCTCATCTGGCCAGTCACCATCGCAGTGTCCATTCCAGCGCTTGGTCGTGAAATGGCTTCCCAAGTCCTGCCGGAGAGCTCCAGGCAAAGGGTCAGCGCATGCTAGCCGCTGTTTGGCGCATGCTCTGGCCTCGCAGATCTCCTCTGCTTCACATGCCAGACCTCCGAGAGAGGAGCTGAAAGCGCTTCACGACTCGCATGTGCCCATGCATGTGCTCTACGAACTTTTCTTGGCTAGAAAACGCCTGGGCGCAAGGTTCCTCTGCACTCGGCCTTGGCACTGGAGGCTGTAATCGACAGGACATTCCAAAGGGTACTCGCAGATCTCGTAGCCATCTGTAATACCTCAGCGACGATCTGCCCAGCACACTACCACTACGAGAACTGCATCGCCTGCAGATCGTGATAGAAACTCCAAGGTGCAAAACTCTCCACCCCGCGTTGGAAGTACGAAATCGCTGTCGGAGGCTGGGGCTGTTGGAGTCGTGCCTTCAGCGCAGTCTTGATACGATGACATCATCGGAACCATCCGACAGCCCGGTGCGCCTTGCTGCGAGGTGGTGGCCACGGCAGCGTCCGCTAATGTGGTACTCATTATCCCCGGGAGAGTGACGGATGGCACCTGCCACATTGCACTGCTGCAATACTTAGCTTCAGATGAATCATTGGTCGCTCTAACTTTGGAATTCGTCCGAACACCTGGACCTAGCCTCACCTCCTTGCACTGAGCCTGGGCCGCTACTCTATGAGACACAGCCACATGCGCGGCAGGCATCTCGCGCCTGGCTTGGAGAGCCTTGCCGGTGGGAAGCTAGTGACTGGTGGGCTTTCCGGCCAGAGCACATAAAGGCCACCCATAAAACGCACCTCCACTGGTCTCCATCATGCAGGTCTTGCATAGGGTCTGGTCTTGTGCGTAAAGATCTCGGTGCTCGGGCAAGAAATGGAAGTGACTGGAATAACTACACTCGAAACAATCCGTCGAACCATCTGAGCTCCCTTCCGACGCACTGCTGCGACATGTATATGATCTCACCTCAGCTGTTGTTCAGCAAGGAATGGTAGCTCATCTTAAGCATTTCAACAGTCGTTCTGACTGACCGTAGATGCAGTCCTGCTGCTGGCGATGTAGCTGGAGCCCAAGCGATCACAAGCAGTCGCTCCGCACAAGGAGATCGATGAGGAAAGCTCAAAACCATCTGGGCAGGACAGCTCGTCCTTGCAACCTGCAGCAAACCCTGCAGAGAAGACAACTTCATGTCAATAGCACCAGGATGGCTACAACAGTCTAGAGACTGAGCAGGAAGCATGCAGCCGCCAACGAGGTGGGGCAGTCATCGCCCGTTCGATGGCAGGAAAGGCCCTGCACACAACACAGGGCAATAACTTTGATTACCCATAATGATAGCAAAGAACAATCAAAAACTGATTTTTAGAATTGTTAACAGCATTCCGCGCGTTGTGATCACTGACTCCAGCTTGGCACCCAACGGACGAGGCTGGAGACTGCGTCGCCGGAATGGGCTGCAAAGCGACACACTGGCAGCATTCGTACCTTTAAGGGATATGCTGCAAAACATAGCAGGCTTGCTCCGTGCGGGTGGATGTCTCCCCACCTGCGCGAGTCATCTGGCCAGTCATTGCAGCGGCCATCCCATTCCGCAGCTCTAAAGTTGACACCTCTGTCAATCGTTCATCAGACACCTCACCTCAAGAAGCATCCTCAAACCAGAGAAGGCAGATCAGACATCGTGCTGCACAGTCTTTCAGGTTCGACACACTGATTTCCACCAAATGCACGTTCAGCACATCCATGTACCAGCAAAATCACCGGCACCTAGATCGCCGCACTCCTTCTCCGAAGCTTTGCAGCCGATCTCCTGACATTCCTCGCTTGGGATCGAACAATCAGCACATCTAAAATCATGACAGGAAGCTGCTACAAAACACGCGTCTGACAGTTGCTTGGTTTCGCAGATGCTCCAGTTCAAACGATCTCGGGCAGCTCAGCCCGTAATGGCAGATGTCGCCATGCATGCCTCGACTTGCATGGCATGCAAAAGAATGTTGGAGAAGAAGCCTGTACACAACTGAGCAGAGCGCATTTTTCGGAGGTCCTGACCTCGAGCACGCATCGGGTTAGGCAACTGTTTGCCACCACACCTACCACAGTCACTACTGCAATGCAGCAACGGCCACAACCACCGACCACCGCCAACTGTACTGCCACTGCTGCTACCGCTAGTCCTGCTCCTACAACCACTACTGCCACCATGCTACCATCCTCCTCTGTTCCTCCTCCTCCCTCTCCTCCCCACCTCGTCCTCCTCGTGCGCCTCCTCCCGCTACAGCTCCCTTCTCCTGCTGAAGCTGCTGCTGCTGCTGCTGCTACTCATGATTGCTACTGCTGCTGCTACTGCTACTGCTGCTAGTGCTAGTGCTACTGCTACGGCTGCATGCTACGGCTGCTACGGCTGCTGCTACGGCTACAGCGGCTAGGGTTACTTCTTCGGCTACTTGTGCTGCTACTTGCTTGTTCAGGGGCCAGACTCCCTGGCCCTGAGACCTACCGTCTGCCCGGTCCACCCCATGTTGGTGTCCTGCTCCTGCAGTAGCTCTTGCTCCTGCCCCTCTTAGTTCCCTTCCTCCCTACGGCTGTTCACCAAATCATTGTTGATCAACGCCGCCAAGCTGCTGGTGCGACCACCACGGTTTCGCCGGTCGTATGTGCCACCAGAAGTGTGACAACGACCGCTGCAGCCTTTGTTGGCATAATCTTACCGGGCAGCTTGTAGACGACACTTGCGACGATGGTTGCGCGGATGATGATGATGATGGTGATGATGGTGATGATGGTGATGATGGTGATGACGATGATGATGAGGAGGAGGAGGATGATGATGATGATGATGATGGTGATGATGGCGATGCTGATGCTGATGTTGTTGATGATGATGGTGATGATGATGATGTGGATGATGATCATGATGGTGATGATGATGATGATGGTGATGATAGCAATGATGATGAGGATGATGATGATGATGATGATGACAGCAGTGGTGGTGATGATGATGATGATGTTGATGATGATGATGACGATGACGATGACGATGATGACGGTGATGGTGATGGTTCTTATTCTTAAGATACTATATTTTATTGTCTGGTGATGATGAGGACGACGGAGATGATGATGATGATGATGACAGTATTCGTGATAAAGATGCGGGTGCTGCTGAAGTTTATGACGATGATGTTGCCATGGTGAGGGTGGTGATGATGTGATCACAGCGATGATGGCGATCATCCTGCTCATGGCACTCATGGTGCTCGTACCATGATCGAACGGTGATGACTTCAGAATAACAAGTGGTGGTGGTGGTGGTGGTGGTGGTGGTGGTGGTGGTGGTGGTGGTGGTGGTGGTGGTGGTGGTGGTGGTGGTGGTGGTGGTGGTGGTGGTGGTGGTGGTGGTGGTGGTGGTGGTGGTGGTGGTGGTGGTGGTGGTGGTGGTGGTGGTGGTGGTGGTGGTGGTGGTGGTGGTGGTGGTGGTGGTGGTGGTGGTGGTGGTGGTGGTGGTGGTGGTGGTGGTGGTGGCGGTGGCGGCCATGTGGAATACGATGCTTCTCCCATCGCATGATATCGCATGATGCCGTTGACTCTGCAGGCGACGATCCTCTGCGTCGCAAGAAACTAATGCAAAAGAGTAGCTGCCATACTCAGCATGTGTCCACAGCACTAGAGCCACATAAATGGCTTCAGATCTTGGAGGTGGGCAAAGAACGCAATGCGCTTCGCCGCACATGAAAACACCCGCAATTCCCTGTGAAGCACGCTGGCCGCAGGCCTCGGCCAGCCCGTCGCAGTCCAAGCCTGGCCGTGTTTGTACTCCGCTGCGCTCCGTCCAGGCTTGCCATGGCTTGAGCCGGCTCGACCCATGGAAAAGTTCCCTGCTGCAGCCAGGCATTGCCAAATCACCGTCGTCCCCGCCTTCACAGTTTGGAATGCCGGAATGCCGCACTCTTGTCTCAGGCTTCTGCCTTCATCAGGCCGGTCCCCAGGATCCTCGTCTGAGCCACCTCCCCCTGCTTGGAATCCCGTCTGGCGCCTGAAACGGCAGATGCGCATCAATGCTAGTCAGCTTTCAGGCATATCCCTGCACCTTGCATCGACCAACAAGGGTGGTCCCTCGTGAGGTTCCAAACCTGGCAGCCGGGCACATAGACCGTCTGAGCGGATGCTCACCACCTTAGGGATTTATCAGAGGCACGGGCACCCGAGCACGCCGTAGCGGCAGAAGCTGCTTTCCTCCTAAAGCAAGCGCTTTAGAAACAAGCACACTCGTGATCGGCCTTTCTATGCTTGCAAGATTGTGAATGAGATGTAGATCCTCTCTTGGCCCACCTCTGCCGGGAAGATAGAAGAGAGGCCACTCGCACGGAAGCATCACTTCCGTGCAACCAGCGGCTGCTGTGCAGGACGGGGCCCTGCACCTGTTTGCGTCGAGCTTCCAGAACTGTTTGCCTGTCTGCTGGTCCGAGCTCACGTCACTGCCTGGAAGAAAAAACGCAGCGGATCTGGTATCCAAATCCTACAGCGAAGACAGCAACACAGTAGAAGGACCTGGCTGCGAAGACTGAGGACCTTCCATGGACAGTTGCTACACCATCTAAGCCTTGTGCGCCAGCTCCGGCCAGTCTTCGACAAAGTCCATGCGCAGTGCCTGCATTCACAACAAACTTCGCACCGCCGGCTATACAAATCCCCGCACCAACTGCCTGCCAGTCGGGCAAACTCCCATAGGAGGGCGGGGGCAGAATCTGCAGGACGGACATAGGGAAGAGCCTAAGGCGAAGCGAAGAAAGCGAGTCCCACCTGGCCCAGGTCGATGCAGCCCAGAAGAGCTGACCTCGATCTCGCTCGCGCGTGGCCCCCCAATGGACTCGAAAGCACAGCTGGGAGTCGATCAGGCAGACATACGTCGCGTGCGCAGCCTCTGTGCCCTTGGAGAAATCTCCGCTCAGAAGCTGGCCTTTGAGGACAGAGCTCAAGGCCGTGCCGAGATACTCACTCCTAGGTCCCAGGACTAGGAATATCCTCAAGTTTGGCCAAGGTGCGCGTGGAGCAGACAATGCCCAGAGATGCGACCTGAGCCAGTCAGTGCACTCAAGCAACGCAAGCTCGAAGAGGTGGCTCACGGCGAGCAGGCTTTGCCCATATCCTGGCTACCTTACTTAGCAACATGCTGGCCACTTGCAGTGTAGCACACATTTTCGTCATCCCTCCGGGATGTTGCCCAGGTGACTCTCGGCAAAAGCTCCTCGACGCAGCCGATACTTCGAAGGGAATCGCAGAAAGACAACCGCGAAAGAGAGAGACAACCGTAAGACTGCATCTTGGCTACCTTCGAGCACCACCGGCAAGAGTAGCTGCAGTGCTACAAGCCCCAAGTCCTCAGTCGCCTTCATCCGGGAAGTCGGTTGTCGACGTGGAGACGCGATCAAGAGATTCGTGGAAAAGACAGCGCGGAGGCTCCGAGTTCTCAGAAAGCACAGGGGAGCTGGTGTGGCCCATCGACACTGCTCGTGAGCTCGAGTCCTCGGAAAGCTCCACGTGCCATGCAAGGTGGCCGAGCCCATCGAAATCCAGCGAGGTCTGCAGCCTTCAAGGTCGATACCACAGCTGCAGCTTTGAAAAGAAAAGCAGGCCGAGCCACTGAGAGGGTGGCCGAACATCCTGCGGCTTGTCAGGTGCTGGTGAGGCACGTGCCTTTGAAAACGTGGCACTTGGACAAGAATGGACTGAGTCATAGGATTCTGCAGCGGCTGGCGTTGCCTTGGCCTGTGCATCCTTTGGCTCAGGAATGAATTCTGAGGGTACCTGTGCAGCGGTAACAAGCCTCTCTTCCCTCCTGCCTGCACCAATGAGCCGCCTGTGCTCTTCTCCGCAGAGCTCGCTCAAGAGCTGACATCCTGCCAGAAAGGTCCTCAGCAATCTTGAAGCACGGGAATGGTGCAGATGCAAAAAGGCATCCAGCACGATGTAACAGAGACAAACACAACGACACTGGTGTCCGCGAAAGAACCCATCAGCCTCCATCTTCCCTTGTGCTGCTGACAAAGCGTGGGTCATCTCGCAGGTAACCTGCGACTGACAAGGACAACTAAAGATCTGGAATCCAGAAACAAAAAGGAAGTCACTGAGTCACTGAGTCACTGCCCTGCCGCCTTCCGCGCTGAGCTCATGGCCTCGATCACTGACGCTGGCAAAGCCCTCCTCTCTATGAGTCGCCGAGTCGCTGAGATTCACACATCCACACACCTGCTGGCTGTTTCGACAGCCGCGAGCAGCGCAGCTCCGCATGCCTCCGCGTGACACTGAAGCGTGCAGACCTTTGTGGCGCTTCCAGTTCCAGTGATGCCTCGCCGGAGGTTTCCTCTGTGAACCTCGGCCCACGCATGCATCTGTACGCACCCCAAGCCCCAGTCCCGGATACATTTTGCAGCCGGAGGACCCAAGCGAAGAGCTCGGAGCCTCGACCAAGAGCGCAGTGCAGCGGTGCAGCGGTGCCGTTCGCTTCGCGGTGTTGGGCGGACTTGGCCGCCGGCTTCTGGTCGACTTGGAGGTCTTGCCGGGATGTCCGGTGCAGCACCGACTTCCCTAACACGCTCCCATAGCGAAGGCTCCTCTGTTGGGTCTCGAACCTTAGTAACTGACACTCCATGCATGCCCTTGTGCTGACTCGGAAGCACGACAGGGTCAGACTGGCAGTACTTGCACGAACTAGACGAATACCCCTGGGCATGGAAGACGATGGCCGCAGCGATAGCTTCCTGAGCCTTCAAGTTGGTTGTTCGTGTGCTGACATGTTCGGGCCCACTGAAGAAGATGCATTTGGGGTCTCAGGCTTGGGCTGAGGGTTTCAGTAATCCGTTCGTGGGCGTTGCGTTTGCATGGCTCAGAGTTTGGCGGTCACGTCGAGGTGCAAGCAGTGGTACTAGGGACAGCCGCGGAAGCAGGTCCAGTAGTCGTCGTCGTCATAGTATCAGTAGCAGTAGCAGCGACCGTCGAAGTAGTACTAGTCGTCGTCGTCGTGGTAGCAGTAGTAGTCGTTGTTGTAGCAGCAGCAGTAGTAGTAGTAGAAGAACAAGAAATAGAAGTAGTGGAAGAAGTCAAAGTAGTAGAAGTAGTAGACGTAGTAGACGCAGTAGAATAGAGGCAGAAGTCGAAGTCGAAGTGGAAGCAAAAGCAGAAGTAGAAGTAGAAGCACAAGCAAAAGTATGAGAAAAGCAAAATTAGAAGTAACAATAAAATCAGAAGTAGAAGAAGAAACAAAAGTAGTAGTTTGTAGTAGAAGTGGAAGTGGAACCAGTCGTACTAGTAGCAGCAGTAGTCGTAGTTGTAGTCGTAGTCATAGTCGTAGTCGTCGTAGTCGTCGTAGTCGTCGGAGTCGTCGGAGTCGTCGGAGTCGTCGTAGTCGTCGTCGTCGTCGTCGTGGTCGTCGTAGTCGTCGTAGTAGTCGTCGTCGTAGTCGTAGTCGTAGTCGTAGTCGTAGTCGTAGTCGTAGTAGTAGTAGTAGTAGTAGTAGTAGTAGTAGTAGTAGTAGTAGTAGTAGTAGTAGTAGTAGTAGTAGTAGTAGTAGTAGTAGTAGTAGTAGTAGTAGTAGTAGTAGTAGTAGTAGTAGTAGTAGTAGTAGGCCGGTGCCCCTTGCCGAACCCACCTTCTTAGCATATTTGAGGAAGATGATCATGATGAGGATGCTTATGATGACCATGATGATGATGATGATGATGATGATGATGATGGATGCGTTCAGACACATGTCGGATCGGGTTGCGGGGGGCAAGGGGTGGGGGCCGATGATGACGACATTGTTATGCAGACACCCCGAACAATATCTCCAGAAGAGCCATTTTACTCGCTTTTCAAAGTACTTTCGTGATGTCGGACCATCTTATATAGTCACCAGACCTATTTCTGGACTTTGCTTCGACGTTGGGATTTCGCAGGGCTTTCTGCGAAAACTCGAACTTGGTTGGGGAGAAGCTCGTTTCGGGGATGATGACGACATTGCTTCGCGCAGACGCCGAACGATAGCTCTACACCCTAGCGCCCACACACCACACACCACTTCAAAAGCAACCCTCCTACGCAGGGGGTCTGAGCTTTAGGGGTGTTGGCGAGCCCAATCCACGTACAGCTGGCATCTTGTTTTTGATGTTCATGAGATGTCGCGCTTCAGGTCTGAGGAGTGTTGAAACCTTTTTGACAGCACCTGCCCTCTGCACATTATTTTCGTACTATCCGACCACCTGTGGTTTAGTAGTTTCTTCCGCGTCGAGTTTGAAGAAAAAGTGCGGTCGCTGGTTCAAGCCCCAACAACACACTTCGCGACCACACTTCCATCAAACGAAGAAAAGAATGCGGCCGCGGCGTGGTCCAAAACGCCAGTTTTGACACCAAGACATACTTTCGGGGACCGGAGCTGGTCCCAAAAAAAGCCTTCAGCAACACCGCAGTGCAATCCGTGCCAGTGAGAAATCCTACGGCCTGGCCAGCATTTTCCACACTAGTAGTAAGCAACATGCATACTTATTGCTCTTGGAGGGTGGCTCCCCTGTGGGGCCCACGTAGTAGTAGTAGTAGTAGTAGTCGTCGTCGTCGTCGTCGTCGTAGTAGTGGTAGTGGTAGTGGTAGTGGTAGTGGTAGTGGTAGTGGTAGTAGTAGTAGTAGTAGTAGTAGTAGTAGTAGTAGTAGTAGTAGTAGTAGTAGTAGTAATAGTATAGTAGCAGTAGCAGTAGCAGTAGCAGTAGCAGTAGTAGTAGTAGTAGTAGTAGTAATAGTAGGAGGAGTAGTAGTGGTGGTAGTAGTAGTAGTCGTGGTAGTAGCAGTGGCAGTGGCGTGGCAGTGGCAGTGGCAGTGGCAGCGGCAGCGGCAGTGGCAGTGGCAGCGGCAGCGGCAGTGGGCAGCGGCAGCGGCAGCGGTGGGGGGGGGGGGCGGGGGGGTGCGTGGGGGCGGTGGTGGGGGCGGTGGTGGGGGCGGTGGTGGGGGTGGTGGTGGGGGTGGTGGTGGTGGTGGTGGTGGTGGTGGTGGTGGTGGTGGTGTGGTGGTGGTGGTGGTGGTGGTGGTGGTGGTGGTGGTGGTAATGGTGGTAATGGTAATGGTAATGGTGGTGGTGGTGGTAATGGTGGTAATGGTAATGGTAATGGTGGTGGTGGTGGTAATGGTAATGGTAATGGTCATGGTAATGGTAATGGTAATGGTAATGGTAATGGTAATGGTAATGGTAATGGTAATGGTAATGGTAATGGTAATGGTAATGGTAATGGTCATGGTCATGGTCATGGTAATGGTGGTGGTGGTAATGGTAATGGTAATGGTAATGGTAATGGTAATGGTAATGGTAATGGTAATGGTAATGGTAATGGTAATGGTAATGGTAATGGTAATGGTAATGGTAATGGTAATGGTAATGGTAATGGTAATGGTAATGGTGGTGGTAATGGTAATGGTGGTGGTAATGGTAATGGTGGTGGTGGTAATGGTAATGGTGGTGGTGGTAATGGTAATGGTGGTGGTGGTAATGGTAATGGTGGTAATGGTGGTGGTGGTGGTGGTGGTGGTGGTGGTGGTGGTGGTGGTGGTGGTGGTGGTGGTGGTGGTGGTGGTGGTGGTGGTGGTGGTGGTGGTGGTGGTGGTGGTGGTGGTGGTGGTGGTGGTGGTGGTGGTGGTGGTGGTGGTGGTGGTGGTGGTGGTGGTGGTGGTGGTGGTGGTGGTGGTGGTGGTGGTGGTGGTGGTGGTGGGGGTTGGTGGTGGTGGTGGTGGTGGTGGTGGTGGTGGGGTGGTGGTGGTGTGGTGGTGGTTGGTGGTGGTGGTGGTGGTGGTGGTGGTGGTGGTGGTGGGTGGTGGTGGGTGGTGGTGGTGGTGGTGGTGGTGGTGGTGGTGGTGGTGGTGGTGTTGGTGGTGGTGGCGGTGGTGGTGGTGGTGGTGGTGGTGGCGGTGGTGGTGGTGGTGGTGGCGGCGGCGGCGGTGGTGGTGGCGGCGGGGGTGGTGGCGGCGGGGGTGGTGGCGGCGGGGGTGGTGGCGGCGGGGGTGGTGGCGGCGGGGGTGGTGGCGGCGGGGGTGGTGGCGGTGGTGCTGGTGGTGGT